ATAGCTGTGTAAGCAACACAATGATGCAACAGAAATCATGTACAGGATGACATACCGACTCTAAGCAACAATAGAATGCGTACGACGTAACGCGTGTTGATACGGCTACGTAACGGGTACATAGCCGTATTAACACAGTGATGGAACAAAGTGGCATAGCGGCCCCAACTAGCAATAGAATGCGTTACGACGTAACGCGTGTTGATACGGCTACGTAACGGGTACACAGCCGTAGTAACACAGTGATGGAACAAGGTGGCATAGCGGCCCCAACTAGCAATAGAATGCGCTACGACGTAACGCGTGTTAATACGGCTACGTAACGGGTACATAGCCGTAGTAACACAGTGATGGAACAAAGTGGCATAGCGGCCCCAACTAGCAATAGAATGCGTTACGACGTAACGCGTGTTGATACGGCTACGTAACAGGTACATAGCCGTAGTAACACAGTGATGGAACCAAGTGGCATAGCGGCCCCAACTAGCAATAGAATGCGTTACGACGTAACGCGTGTTGATACGGCTACGTAACGGGTACATAGCCGTAGTAACACAGTGATGGAACCAAGTGGCATAGCGGCCCCAACTAGCAATAGAATGCGTTACGTAACATCATTAATACAGTGATGCAGCAGGATGGCATACCGACCCCAACTAACAGGAGAATGCGTCACGTAGCCGTATTGACACAGTGATGGAACAAAGTGGCATAGCGGCCCCAACTAGCAATAGAATGCGTTACGTAGCCGTATTAACACAGTGATGGAACAAAGTGGCATAGCGGCCCCAACTAACAGGAGAATACTTTACGTAGCCGTATTATAACAGTGATGGAACAAAGTGGCATAGCGGCCCCAACTAACAGGAGAATACTTTACGTAGCCGTATTAACAGGTGCCTTAGGGAGGACATTTGCGACAGGCCCCACATTATACGAAAAGTAGACCCCAAAAGTCTCCGATCGCGTGATCGACACCTTCTGAAGGGTTAATATTTTGCCCTACAGTACCTGAGTTTCCTCACTATATTATGACGCGACTCGGGGTGGGAGTGGGCTTAACATGACAGAAGCAATATAGAGGAGCTATACCAGAACTCGTGTCTACGTACGACCGTAGCACGCGCGCGCACACGGTGTGAAAAACAACAAAAATTTTCCCAAATTTCGCGAAAGTTCCTCAGAAATTTTTTTGTCATCAACACACGTAGTTGACTATGTGCGTATTTTCCCACACTGGCACTCAGCAAGATCGACTTCCTCTGATGGGGCAGCTATGCCATAGGTTATGGCATAGCTGGCCATGTCCCATAGCAAGATATGCTTTGGTCACTCAACTCTGCAAGTGGGCAGGTTAGAGAGACGTCCCGGTATTGGCAGGAATAATGTTATTTGGGGCAGATATGCCACGTGATAATACGCTATATTGTGTACGCCGCGTACAGTACGGGTGAACCCACTTGATAAAATTTAGGTAATTTATTAAAACCAGTCGGAAAAAATTAAAAAAATTTCCCCAGAAAGTCGGAAAATTCTCAAAAAATTCCGGCACCGTATTAGACTGACCTACGAATGTTGGAGTACCATGACATACCGTGTGGTTGGGGGGAAAAGCATCAATCGGCGAGAACCGCCACCACAAGATGAGGAGTGAACGCTCCTTCCAGGAGAGCATTTCTGCCGTCCGATTCGAAATCGAACCCCCATCGCTCGTGTCGACTAAAAGGGCATTTTATCCTTCTAGTTCCCTGCGTTTATGAGCTGATTGTATGCGAGAATATCTCGGGGCGAAGCGCCCATTTAGGAGCTCTCGGGCTCTTAATAACACCTCACTGGGGCTCTTCGCTACGTGCATGCGTGCGATGCTTACGAAGTGATATCCTCATGATACATGTCGAGGACTCTAGCCCTCATGTCACGTCGTTACTCGCGGTTACCGTCACACCCAATCGATCCTCGCTATCGTCGACTATTCATTCGATGCTCGACCAGAGCGCGCGCGCCCGACCGTTTCATGCACGAAATCAGCGCTTCGACAAACACCATCTATATCACCGATCTCAACGTCACTCATCGGCATTCTGGAGTGATACGGACATCAACACGGTGCCAAGTTGATACTCGATATTCATGGCGAAATCTACCTCTCAAGCAAGTCCTCGTCCTCGGTCTTCGGCCCGACTTCGCAGTCAGGAACCTCCCGAGATTCGTCTCGATGAATCATCAAATGGTGAACCTCTCCGTTGTTGCGTCACTATGCGATCTCCCTCCAGGTACAGCTCGCGGCCGCTCTCGTAGCGCTAAGCCGAAGAAAACCGAGAAAGAAGTTGGCGCTGTCGCCGAGGTGCGCTACTGAGACAACACAGAGAGTTCTCATGCGTTCCCTTTCTTCACAGTCTCGAGAGCCCAGCAGTGGAAGGACTGTCACTACTCGTTCCCGATCGAGAAAAGCAGATAAGAAATCTAAGGTACAATATTTG